TATTTCGAAAATGTAATTAAGGACTAACTTTAAATTTTATATTTGTGTTTATGAAGGTATGAACGTTTAAAGCGTTGTGTACTCTGTGTAAATTTACGTCAAGTGTTCCCACCTTTTTTACGTTTATAACGCCATATATGCAAAACACAATTAGTTCTTATAAAAAATAGTGATATGATACAAGAAATGATATGGATAACTATACAACGTCAGTGATAGCGTTCACCGGATTAAGATAATACATGCATCCAATTATCAACTGTAATTTAATTGTATTGAAATTGAAATTTGCTCAACAGATATATAAAGTATTATCAGTAATCCTGAACCGTAATATTTTTTCTTCCGTCCAGCCCTGTAATGCAAGAGTTCTAAAAGAAACAAGGTTTTCATTTGTAAAGGTTTTACGAATTTGTTTTACTTGTATTTATCAAAATTGTACATTTGGGGAGTAAGGCTAATTCCGCGCACGTATGCAATTTACGTCTATAATTCCATTAGGAGCATGAACTTTCATAATAATCGATACATTTCAACGATACAAACTATAAGGTAAAGCGTCCATATACATGTACCGTATTTAGTTTGACAGCCGTCAGTTCCAGATGACCACTATTTGGTGGCAATATATCCACTATAGCCATTGGCCTCTTAACAAGCACTTGTCACAAGCATCTCCCGTGAGTACTGTAAACCAACTTGCCAACAGTGTATCGTTGAAACCCCCAGCCCGGTGCCACCTGCTGCTGAACGGTAATTACACGTGGACTATATTACCGCGTGTTTAGGCGGATGGATACTGCGTGAAGTGGTCGTCGCCATGTGTTCATGCCTATGAAGTGAGTATGAATAAGCAGGTCCTTGTGGTTGGGGGCTTCAAGAGGTCGAAGTTCACTTCCATTGCTAGTGCAAATTCGAAGAAATCGATAAAACTGACGTGAGACGGATGGGACAAAGGAAAGCGTGTATTAAGTTACTTTGGGAAACAGGATATTACGTCTACACAAGTAAGTCTTTAACGATTTTGTATAGATTTGCATTGAAATCAAATAAACTGTAATCTGTACAGTTAGTTACTTTATCGATGAGATAAAATCAAGTGAAAGAGAGTGGTAGTTGTTTTTCATGATCGTGTCTTACGCGCTTAAATGTTCATTTAAGCTGATAACGACATACATGTATATAAATTTAAGTGTTAACATGTGTATTAGTGACTGTTGCAATGGCGTTTTGTGTTTCATCAGATAAAAACTGCTCTATTTTATTGTAATGGCGTGTCTGGGATAATGTACCAGATGCAAGAACATGTTGTCCATGAGAGTTCTTCATGTCTCATGGTCTTGTAACGTCTGAATCCTGACCAAAGGTGTGTGCCTATGTTTGTGTCCTACAGCTGTGTACAAACCTTTATGTGTCTTCAATGCTTGTAATACAAACAACGTATGTTTCCACTTATTATATTATGATACATATATTTACTATATGTTTTATCACATCTCCCACCAAACATGATTTGTAAGTGTATAAGAAGTTGTCATAATGAACAAGCCGATTTTTGTGTTTGATGAAACCCTGTTACCAGGATAATTATTTACCTGTATTAAAGTGCAATGACTACGGCATCATCTGAATGACGCTTCAAAAACACTGAACGCTTGATACTATATTTCTTTCGGTGCCGTTCATTATGGATCCGGGTGAATTGAAACTACCACAGGGAACATCGTATATCGACCCACTGGTTCAACTGAGTAATGTTCAGTAACTGTACTCTGTGACTTTCACTCTGACATTTAACCATAGATTCTCTCCCGTGGGATGGTACCCTTTTAACAGAATCGATATATTTACAATATGTAAAACATGGAGACGTTGTAGTGACCCTGTAAATTGAACATGACTACACAGACAGAAGGAGATACTGAGAGATTTAGGGAGAGAGAGAGAGTGATAGACAGATAGGAAGAGTAAACGGAAACGGAGTGAGAGAATGATAGAGCGCTAGAGAGAGAGAAAGGGAGATAGATTAAGGTGAGAGAGGAAAGGAGAATGAGAGGTGGAAAGAAACAGACAGAAACAGAAGAGAGAGAGGGGAAAGTATTTAGAGCAAAAGAGAGAGAGAGGTAGAAGAGAGAGAGGGAGAGAGAAAGCGAAAGAGAGAGAGAGAGAGAGAGAGAGAGAGAGAGAGAGAGAGAGAGAATGAGATACCTGCTAACACTGCCGATAGTGGTCATCGCACATACACAACACATATAGTCACTACGCATGTGAAACAGTAGTCGGCATTTAACACACAGATTACAATCACTACACACGTACACTGACAGCCAGCCAACACACTCAGACAGACGATGGTGTTAGATCAACCTTTCTACACTTGTAATGTTGTGGTGATTTTTATCACAAAAAAATACACCCTCTTCAACCAGTGACATTTAAGTAAAATCTCAACCCTTTATAGCGCACAGATCGAATTCTAAATAGAAATCGACGAGATTGCCATAATACTCTTTGATTAATCTATTCTCTAAACACTCTCGTGGATAATGTACCCGAAAGAGGACTACAGAACACGCAACCTCGGACTGGAACTGATAAGACGTTGTACAAAAAATTATAAATGTGCAGATGTGCAAGATGATGTGAAGCTGAAACGATGTTGTTCTTCAACCCTCCGCCCACCTAGTGAACGCTTGACAGCATAGCGCCATGGAGGACTTTTGTCCCGCTAAATACATGAGATGTGGTACATTGCGTGATAGCGTATTGAACACATCGATACCAGTCGCGGGCTCTCGCATGCAGGGTCACTTCGATCAGTATCTGTTTGCATAGACTTTTGTGTTCCTTCTTTTTTAATTGATTTGGTATCACTGTATCTCATCTCAACAGAAATGAAAGTTGCAATTTCTGTAGTTTCATGATTTTGGTGATAGTGCATTTAGTTCAATCTGTTCATCTTTACTGCATTACAAGGAGCCATTGTAACACATGGTACCAAGATGCACGTATTATCGAACTCTTAAAACAATAAGAGGATTCATACATATCAACATAGGAAAAATGAACAGACTTTCTATTTTTTCCCTCTGATTATTTCGACTGAACAAATGATAAGCCAATATAACATAATGATACGTATCGATATATGTGGTTCAAGATATTACACTTATGATGAATATTTACTTTGTGTTTCACGGGGATACTTTCACGCAATCACATATCAGAAACATGGTTACATGTTACTAGTAACTGTGATATCAGGCCAGAGAGCGTGGGTATTGTAATCGTTTTACACAGCGTTTAGCAGTAATCAAGCACTAGCGGGCTTTACACATGTTGGAATCAATCCCGTGATTTTGGTGCGACGGGCTTGAAAACCCAGTCGCCCCCTGCCCCACAACCCCTTTTCCCCTATGATGAGAACGGACACTGGATGCCATGTCCTGACCTGTCAGAAGCCATCTCTGTCCATGTTGATGGTCACTTTACCAGATTGTCGAGTCGCTCAAAATATGTGTAAATATCAAAACTGTAATATTATGTGTCATATAGTTTATTATTTAGTATCAAATTTAGCACCGTTCGAATTGTTAACCAGCAATATGTAATTTAATTCAATGCTCCCTTGATATGTGGAGCTTCCGGGTTAGAAAAGATCCCAGCAGACTATGCGGCCTAAGTGGAGTCGACCGAATAGATCGGTTTTCAGGGCCAGTGTCATGGCCGACTGCATGTCATCGTACCACTACGGTGGATAGCTGCTCACATCAGTCACCAGATTGTCTGGTCCAGATTTGTGTATTTACGGCCCTCTGTTAGAGCCGGGATAATACAGGTTGCAAACAAAGGTAGGCCTTTGCCAATGCTGTCAGTTTTGCATCTTACAAACGTAACCTACAACCCATTGCTTCAATGCTGAAATATCAATCATGACCAGGTTCATAACTCACGCGTTCCCAGCATAGCGTTATCACCTGTCTATCGAACATTCAGCTACCACTCAATAACATATTACAACATACACTGAGTCATGCACTTCTCTCATTTCTATTTACATTTCAACTTATCATTCAACGTCACATACAGTGTTGTTACCACAAAATACAGCGTTATTTAACCTGACCCTACCATCTCTCACTGCTGGTTGTGTTGCTAGCTGCTACCTGTGTTATCAATTTCCACCAGATGAGACGAAAGGAAGTATGCATCCAAGACTCTCCACAAGCGGAAGTAATCACTATCAAGTACGTTACATAAGCAACCTGGTAACATATGTGGGGTAAAGTCGGTAACTTGACCATAATCTGATTGATTATCAAACCAGCATGTAGTCACTGAGTTCATCAATGTTGCATTACTTCATGCTGTCTCAATAAATAGACATAAACGGTTTGCTAAGAGAACACTACTTACTGGGATGTAAATTCACTTGATTTGCAATCCCGTATAAGTCAATGTGATGCGCGTATTTTGTTAAGTGGCAGTAATGTTTTCTTCGTAGAATTATGTATGCAGATATATGTAAAATGTTACTTTTTATCCACGTGCATATAATTATATGTTGCAAGTATTTTGATTAATATGTGTTGAGAGGTATTGTTGTGGATGTAAACGGTCAGTTGGCATTAATGGTGTGAGGCCCCATGGGCGAGTTGATTATGAACCGACTGTTAGGGAGATGAGATGCAGTATATTCGGGCGAGGTCCAGAAATGAAAGTGCGTTATACCAATCTGATCATTATGCCAGTAATTATGTCGTATTGTTCTAACAAACAAATTGATTATGATTAGAAAAATGCTTAAGTGGGTGGGAGGGTCGCGGTTTAACGTTGCAGTTTAAGTCACGGTGTGTGAAAGTAATGTGATGAGAAAGCTTAACGAGACGCAACAACGCGTTTTTCACAATTCAACACAGACTGAACAGCGCATTCTAACGGAAAACAGATTCTGTTCATTTGTTTGTCATTTTCGACTTAAGTCTGTGCTTGTATTTCAGTTCGCGACGTGAATGTTGACGACTGGAAGCCGTGAGGATGCTGGATGGGACCACGACGCTGTTGCTGATACTGGGGACACTCCTCATACTGGTGCAAGGTATGACATCAACTCTAGTTCACTAGCATTTGCAAACTGTTTAAATGAAGAAAGGTATCAGTAGATGTAGTGCATCACTATTTGTTCACTAGTGTGTAGAAACTATTCGAATGTATACAGAGGTATCTATAAAACATAGTGCAAGGTACATCACTATTTGGTCACTGGCATGTAGAAACCGTTCAGTTGTTTACAGAGGTATCTATATATATAGTACAAGGTGAGTGAGTGAGTTTAGTTTTACGCCGCACTCAGCAATATTACAAGCTATATGGCGGCGGTCTGTAAATAATCGAGTCTGAACCAGACAATCCAGTGATCAACAGCATGACCATCGATCTGCGCAATTGGGAACAGATGACATGTGTCAACCAAGTCAGCGAGCCTGACCGCCCGATCCCGTTAGTGGCCTCTTACGACAAGCATGGGTTACTGAAGGCTCATTCTAACCTGGACCTTCACGGGCTAGTACAAGGTCCATCAACATTAGTTCACTGACATTTACAAGCTGTTCAAATGTAAAAGAACGCAAGTCGTCTATAAATATAACAAATATGTACACATGGAGCTGTTTTACCAAATGGTTGTCACATAACTATTGTTGATACAAACTGTTTCCGTGAATCATTATTCTAGTGCATGATACGGCAGCATCAGCCAAGCAGTGCAGAAACACAATAAACATCGCAGTTTGAAACAAATTGATTCGAAAGGAGCAAACTGAATCAAACTTAGAGCAATGAGACAATTGATCCAGGGTCTGTCATGTAGCAACTCTTATACAAACAATAAACGCATTCCGACACTCCTCAGTTTGATGCAACATGCTCCATCGTCATTCGTGCGCTTCCTCAAATCAATAAATATCGCACTTTGAACCAAATTGATCATAAGAAAGCCAAGTGAACCACTAACTGTGATGTAACAATATCGTTAAGCATTTTGTTAAGTGATCGTTATCAAAATGAATGTAATGTATGCTAACAAAAAAGTATCTATGTGTTTGACAAATGATGTAATTATGCCTTCTACGTCCGCACTGTCGTTCATCAGATTTTTGGGTGTCACTTTTCGAATATATTCATCTTTGACAATGACGGAGTGATTCATTTAAAGTCGTGTTGATCGGTTTTTCATTTTTATTACTAAGAAGGAGTTGAAGAACGTCATAGGGCGGTGCGGTAGCCTATTGGCTAAAGCGTTCGCTCGTCACGAGGAAGACCCGGGTTCGATTCCCCACATGGGTATAGTGTGTGAATTGTTTCTGAAGTCTCCGCCGTGATATTGCTGGAATATTGCTAAAGCGGCGTAAAACCACACTCACTCATCCAGTCGCTCACTGACTGAAGAACCCTAGCTTCTCTCTTAAGGCGATGATTAGTTTAGCCAGTTGGCGGAAGGGGCGATACATTTGGGCATTATCTTACCTTCATGTAAAAACTTTCATTGGTCAATGACGCTTTAGTAAGTTTCCGTGTCACCCTCCCAGGAGGGTGACAAATGGAAACAATATTACCTGCTGCCACGGTAACCGCCAAACACTCCGCCGGAAAGCTGTATCGTTAACAATCGTATGATGTCATAATATGACGCATGCAGTGCACGGAATTCGAAAACCGTTCGATTAGCTGTTTTTAGTTCACTATGTACACATTTATTTCACCGACTTTCACTGCTTTATTTAAACTATTTATACATTGCATCGTTTGCACACTCAATCAGTCAGCAGCACCACCAGAACTGGATGTAATTTGCTGCAGTTGCATGAAGGATTGCAACACAAGGAGATGTATGTGCAGGAAGTATGGTGTGCATTGCACCACCAGATGCAGAGAATGCCGTGGTACAAATTGCAGAAATGCCCAGTTGCTTGAAAATGACGTTTGAATTGTGACATTGACGTTTCAATCAGAACTATTCATTTCAAAATCAATTGTTTGTTACAGAAGTATTTTAGGATTCCTATCCTATTGTACATGTAAAATCATACTGTGGACGTATGTATATGAATAAGCTGATATTCGGACATATTGCAGGTATTCGGACATTTGTAAGGTTTGCGAACTTTATATGCGGTACATGTTGTGTTTTAAGGCCATAAATGTGGGAATCTTTTGATTTTTGGCGGTCATTTTTTGATTTTTGGAATGAATTATTAAGCAAATCATATTTCAACATTATTACAACATATTTTACGTGGATCCTTGCCGCCACAAACCCCAGTTACAAGTTTAAATCATTCAAATGTGTCTTCTGAGAGTAGATAATAAATTATTGATATTAGACGGCCATATTGGATTTATGCAATTTTAACAAATTTCCCACTCTGGGATTCCTTAGGACTTTTGGTATGGTGTTCTAGGGACCTCATAGAAATGCGCTGTGGTGAAACCATTTGTGTTACAATTTGTTCCAAGTTGAGTGCTAAATTGGCCTAGAATGCCTGGACTGTTATGGCAGTTTTAAGCTTGTCAGAATATATTTCACTTATTTTAAAAATCCAGTCGAGAGGCAGACGCCATTTTGTTTACATGTCATATAGTCGGTAGCGAGCTTCTGGATCTTCAAAATAAAATAAAACGATATTCTGTATATTTAACATGGCGGTAAGATAAACACGCTGTAAACTTCTCCCTCGGGGAATATGATGTATGCCTCGGGTGACACTGCTACAAAGATGCATACATCAGACCGTATTACCCTTGAGAAAACCATACAACTGATAATATTTACATTTTATGGATGGAGTACCCTTTGAAAATCCTCGTCAGAATGGTTGTTCCGCATCCCATGCTTGTTGTTAGAGGCGACTAATGAAATCGGAAAACGGAAATCGCAAAAAAACAAACACTTCGGAGCAATAATCGTCCGAAAGGCGCAGTATCCCGTAAATACTGGGTCCGGAATAAGGAAGTTTTACCATTCTGAGATATCTACAAGCAATGGGACAAATACTTTAGTAACCCTCAATTCCAATGCATAATTCTGAATGATTTATATTCACAGACAGTTCTCAGGGTGAGAACGAACGACGTCTTCTACGTCACCTTTTTGAAGACACCAACTACAACAATCTTGAACGTCCTGTAGCTAATGAGACGCATCCAGTCAACGTCAGCCTTGGTATCATATTACAGCAAATCATTGACGTGGTAGGTACTAATCGCATTCACCTGTCACCCGGAGTTATCTCCCCTTTAAAAGAGAGTGAATAGTAATCGCATATAGTATTGGTTCAATCAGTACCTCACCCTCAAGGCATGAGGTGATAAGAAACGAGTATATCAACAATAAGTTCTCATTGCATGAAGTATATCGAGTACGTTTCCATTCACAACGTTACTTGATGCACTGTCCACGGTGCTTGTAACTTACTAAAATTAATTTCAACATATTTGATATAAGTATTGTATTTAGTACATTTTTCATAAAATTGGAGATGAATACGATGCATTGATTGTATATGATTTCACCCAGAGGAGCCGCACTGTCTACTTCACAAGCATAATAATTTGCTACACCGGTCATCCTTCATTTTACCGGTAATGAATATCTCCCTATATATACATGCACACACAGAGATGCGCTGGTGGATGTAATCTTGAGAATTTTACTCAACGGTAAAACGGAGTAGAGTAATTGATTCATAGGGAATGTATACACAAATGTTATGGGATGATTTTAGTTTTATGAAGCAGAAACGACAGTCAATAATGTTCTTCTAAAGTAAGCTCGATCCACTTAGTTTAATTAATTTCATAATGCGGAGAAGCTATAACCAAATGTTCTTGAATATCTGATGAAATTTTATCGAAATGCGTTATTACTTCAAGTCTTAATAAGTTATTGCGGTAGGTCGGAATCAACTTTGATCACTCTTTATCATTATCAAAGTAACCGTGTTGTTTGATCGCCGAAGTGTTTCATTTGTTTTCTGATACGTTTACACAAGTACTAATTTTGGCATCTCTTTCATTATTTTGTTGCGATTGTTTAAAGAACGTTTATATTCGTTCCTCATCAACATTAAACAGGATATGTCTCTTAAATATCTGTCTTCTCAGGATCACGGTTACTTTCTCGGACTGTTTATATAAAGACACCAACCTTTGCACAAAAAGAAACCCAAACACGCCCATCACATAAACACGGCAATATGGCTTGTATCACGGAGAACAAACCAGTGTGGCTTCACGCGGTAGACGCTACGTGGGCTTATGAAATCAAGTTAGCCGAAGTTTGAGTTGATTACAAATCAGATGTACTTAACTACGAATTTCCTTTCATGATTTCAAGTTCAGTGGTTGTGAAGACGTAGCTGATTTAATTTTTTTAAGTAGTCGCGAGGAAAGTATTTTCATAGGATCCACATGCAGAAAGAAGACCGATAATCATGAATTAGAATGTATAGTTTATCTGATGCTAATTCTGAGTGTTTAATGAAATCTGCATTGTTGAGATCATGGAACTCTCTTGTACGCCAATTGTTCCCAATTCTTTTGTGACAGTGAAGTATTTTTATGCAATGTGCCTTGTTTTTAATCACAGGATGCCTGGAAATAAAGTTATATAATATCCAACCTTAATAATGACTTTGTTTAAATGTGTTCAGTTGAACACATTGTTCGCGTATTTTGTTGTATATTTGATCAAAAGAAACCGAAGGAAGAGAAAAATATCCGAGTGGGGAATGACGCTGTTATGAACAACATGTAAGGTATATCAAAGGAGGAACAATTAGGTGGATGATATTCATATTCTATGTACGTTACGCCTTGCTGAATTTGGTTTGTTCACAGTGTGGTTTCGATATGTTCAATGCCACAGATCATCATACAGAATGAATTTGTCAAATTCATTTTAATTTGAGAATATTTCATTTATTTTTAGTACTAAATATACAGCATTTATTTAATTCAAAACAATTCATTATGTTTATATATTGTGACATGCGTTTCTGTATTATTTCATATTTAGAAGTAATATACATAAGGGAGAGAATATTTTTAATGGAACTTTTTATTATCAAGAACACAACGTTTACGTTTTTTTGAGTATAGGCTTACTGCTGCATCAGGTTAATACATGTCAGGATGCTGACTGCTACATGTACACATGTAAGAACAATAAGATAACAACTTGCCCATTGCTATTACCAGTCAATGCAAATTTTACTTCCGTCTTCCTTTTATACATTGATATTCACCAGAGAGCACTGATTGACTGCTGACTTTCCTTCTTAAGCACTACCTTTGTTAGCTCATTGTTTTATTTTTCGTAAATGTTTACCTGTACACGTGTATGCTCTCTTCATCCTAACATTCATTTATCTGATGAAGGAGCAATCATATTCTCCGCAACGTTGTGTTCCTCACAATAAAGAAAATAGCATCCATACATTCTCTCCCTTATTTCATATTGTATACCCGTTTATGTCATTAATATATTAATTTTCTTATAACATTAATTATTAACCATAAATTATTGTAGAGATCACTTTTATTGAGTACTTTCTGGAATAATATTCCTTTAGTCTGTGATTTGCACATGTCTGTTTGATTATGTCATATGTCTTCAGTGTTTTGCTTCTGATCATTTGTTCACATTACTGTTTTTGTTTCCAAACCTATGTATCTTATGGGCAGGAAGAGCGCAAGCAAATATTGCATTCAAACTTATGGTTGAAGGTGGTAAGTGATGTGCCGTAACTCACACCTCTATAGCTCTATGCTCTGTCTGCAGTGTGCCGTGAGATGGGATATGTACCAAGTTCTTCTTTAGACACGCTTGTATTCCTTGCTTTACGGATCATAACACTCTTTCACGTTAGTTGTCATTCTTGTTAGCAATTTGTCTCGTTAGCAACCTTTCCCGTTAAAATAAATCATTCTGTTAATTGAACATCATAATGAAATATTCACATTATCGGATTGATTTCCGTTTTCAGAATCCATAAACAAGGAGAAAATGAGTGTGACGTCATATAAAAAGGTTTACCCCTTAAACTTTTATCCGTTAAAATACATACAATATTGATGGTCCATTTTCATATCCTCTTACATTCATCTGTACATGCAGATACAGATTTCATTCTACTGAAATGACAAGTGATGTCTCTTAGGTCTTGTGCAAAGTCACGAACAAAGCGCTCTGTCTTGAAGAAAACCGTTACTTCACCACTCAAGGAGATATGTATTGACCCGGAAGCGGAACTTGGTACAATGTACATCCAGGCATTCACAGCATGCATTCTTTCTAGCACATGGTCCACTGGTAAAGTTGATCTGGGTGTGTGCTGTAGTACTAACTCTGCACATGGGTAGAAATGTTACACTGTACTAACCGTTGTTAGGGGAAGTATATGAATGTCATAAGTCGATGGAAGGTAGTAGGTGTTAGGAATGGGATTATATGCTAATGACATGTTTGCTGTCTGCATGTGAGTTGTCCATATCTAAGCTATAGCGATGCGCCAAAGGCAAAGACAATGGCAGTTCAAAAGTTAGAATTTACGCAGCGACAAGCAGTGGAAAATATATATTATGATAACATGATTTCAAGTGTTATTACACTTTTCGATGTCAACATTATAACGAAGAAGACATTCAACCTTCTCTTGATTGTTTTCTTCAGCATTTGCACAAGTAACAGAAAATCAATATTAAGTAAGAATGACCAAAGTTTCACATCATAAATGTATAAGTAAAATACAGTTAGTTTTAGAGCTCAGGCTGTATTGAATTTACACACTTTATTAATTGTTTTCATTCAGTTTATTATCCGTTCCATTCTGTAAGTAGACAGATTCCTTAACAATTTTTCACCCTCCTTCATCAAGTAAGCATACCTGTATCAAGCACGTGTTCACATGCTTGGTAAGGTAGCAGTACGTGTTTCATTGAAATAATAAATTCAACAGCAAAGCCACCTGTCTTCATGTTAGTCTCATAAACTGCAACTTTAAGATAAAGGAACAAAAAGGAACGAGGAGTGCCAGTTTATGACATGTTCGTTATTTATATATATACCATTCCTCCTAACGTCGTTGCATTGGAACTAACTCTCGAACTGCCTGCCCGTCCTTCGCCTGCTGCTGCGACCCAGCAAATGTACCATGTCGTTTCCTCGTGTTTCATAGGTGTACCGAGCTACCAGGTTGACCATCTTGTCTGGAATTGATTAAATTCCTCTTATTTCACAGGACGAGAAGAATCAAATTATACATACAAATTTGTGGTTGCAACTGGTAAGTTTTCATCTTTAGTACCTTCGTTCACATGCAATACGAATGAAACAATTAACGAGAGAAATGAGGGGAAATTAACCAATATAGACCTTCGTGATCTGAATGCTGGTAAATTGATACAATAAAACTAATAATTGTTCCTCTTTAGATCTGAATTACCATTATCTGCCTATTACCAACGCGCCGCACATTCATAGCGCCTTATATGCATTATAAAGTTGTAATATTCATATTCCACATATTGTGTTGGAAACATGCCATGATGGCGTTACAATAAAGATGTCGGTTATGCGGAATGATCTATATTAGCTTGCATGGAGTTCTTGATGCACAACGGATACTTCCAAATCCTTCATTCTCTTCTTTGGGCTTGCACTGTAGGACGTGCACAGTAATGACTTGGCTATAGAATATTCACTTAGACGTGCTCGAAGCTCTTGGTAGAGTAGAATATAGTTAGCTTTATCTTTGATATCTATGCACGATTTTAATAATATTCTTTCACTTTCAAGTTCATATGCCTCAATATTCTTCCTCATCTCCACCTCCATCCTCTTCCCAGTGTCATACCCAGAGTAACATATCTAGTATTGTGATGGTTCCCAGTTTGGACATTGTTGCACTCTACGGAATTTTGACTGGACTATTGTGACTAACAAAATTTCTTCCTTCGTTTCCCAATGACTATATATTCCAAATCTAGCTACGCATCGCTGCCTTAACATCTAAGTATTGTTTACGTTGTTAGACAGCCAAAATTGTCAGTCTTCTGCATCGTCATTTTATAGAACCTGTTGCATATTTTTCTATTTTTCGAGATATATATGTTTCATCACATGAACTACAATAAGTCATAATGACATAAAAATATTCTTTTGAAGCAAATATTCTTTACATCAGTGTAAAATTGTATATGTACTCATAACTCCAAATCACCGCCATCACACAGTACTTCTAGAATCCCAGTCCTTCATTTGTCGACTAGCTAGCCATGTGTCCTTCTGTGTGAGAGTTACACATGTAATTAGTGCCAGAACGAGATGTTTTCCGATGTGTTTATGCTAGGCAAATTGCAACATGTTTCCTCTCCACGTGCATGCATCTTTATCAACTGTTTTTACGGATCCTGTACGTTCTGTCGATTGCTCGGCATACATACACATACACAGAACACATACACGCTCTAAATACAATTTCATTAAATCTCTTACCAGGCAGCTATTTAATTGAGCAGAAGATATAGTAAGATGCCTTGTTCATTTAGTTAAAAATCCTTCCTTTTACATTTATGCTTCCTGTTTTTAAAGAAACGAGAGCTTATAACTGTATGGGAAACATGTTGCAGTGAACAGAATGGCGTTTTACTTTAAAATGTCAGAAAAAATATGTTCTTTTCTCTCTTTTGTTATGACGTCAATGGAAGACGAATACTAGTACTTCAGCCCTAAATGCAACTGAGTAACATCTCCTATTTTCAAAGAGTTTAAGTTTAAAGTTAAATATGTTGAATATATTGTAGTTTCATATGATTCTTAGAAAGTTACGTGTAAGAGAAGGCAGATGAAGTAATTCTCGCACACATTTCCAGCTTTGGTACGATGTCAACCTTGTCTGGATTCCCGAGGACTTCGGTAATGTCACTGCCGTTAGAGTCCCGACAAAGAAGATATGGCGGCCTGACATCCTCATGTATAACAGGTGAAGAGGGATGTGTGCGTGCGTGTGTGAATATATGCATATGTTTCTATTCGCTACTTCACATATTGAAGCTTAATTTTCGATAGGCATGACAAGTAGGTACCGACTCCATGCGGTTTTCAGAGAACAATCCTTAGTATAAAAATTCCGTCTATTATAATAGCTTATACCAAGAAAGAATTATACAAAAGAACTTTCGATTTTTTAAACAACGACCATACCGTTCCGTCGTTGTGTTCCAGCGCTGATGAGAAGTTTGACGGCACATTTCACACCAACATCATCATATCATATGACGGCAAGTGTTTGTGGGTTCCCCCGGGGATGTTCAAGAGCACCTGTCAGATCGACATCACATGGTTCCCCTTCGACGACCAAAAGTGTGACTTAAAGTTTGGGTCGTGGACTCATGATGGCCGTCTCCTCAACCTCGTCCCGGACAACGCCACCGGCGGTGATATCACCAGCTTCATCAGGAACGGAGAGTGGGAACTAATAGGTAAAACGTGATGCATGACAGTGAGTGAGTGAGTGAGTGGAGTAAGGCGTTAGAGTCGTGGTTGTTGGTGACTGAGGTCGTGAGTGAGGGACGAGTCTGTGAGTGAGGGACGAGTCTGTGAGTAAGGGACGAGTCTGTGAGTGATGCAAGGAGAAGAAGGGAGTTTGTGAGTGATTGAGAAGGTGGCTTTAAAGCCTCATTAAACCCCACATGATGAAGTGACGTTTATCAGTTTGGCGAAACACTTGAGTAAGCGTATAGTGCTGACAGACAGAGGAACACGCCAGAGAGGATTCCGACCTTCTTACGTTAATAACTCTCAGTCTATCTGGCGACAACCCGCATCCATCCGTAACAAATATGGCTTCAATAGGCGTCCCTCTGAAATATGAATCTAATGCTCAAAATCCTAATAGTGTCAATCCTGTACATTTCGTACTATTATGCGTGTTCATAATAAAGATACTGCACAATTTATGTTCCAGGGTTGTTGCAATGAGGGCATGTCTGTTGAAAAATTGTTTGTTCAGTTTTATTTGCCCCGTCTGCAACTACGAGAAGAACCACCGCTGTATTTGTGATAATATCAACAACAGAATCCAACATATTTGATTTTGATTCTAACATTCAAAGTCATACACCCGATGCCACACAATATTTACTCTCAATGTCATCCTCAGCTGTGCCCGTTTATAGGTTGTTTAACACATTAGTTACCATCATTGCGTTCCGCAAAGAGCCTGTTCAGGAGTACAAATAAGCAGATACATTATACATTAATGACGTTCAATGTCACACTTCATGGGAATATTATGTACCCTCAGTGTCATCCCGTAGTGTATCCATACCTTTAATCCAATGCCCAGGAGCGTCTGTGACAGCAGTGTCATCCCATAGCGCATCAATACATTTAATCCAATGCCCAGGAGCGTCTGTGACAACAGTGTCATCCCGTAGTGTACCCATACCTTTAATCCAATGTCCAGGAGCGTCTGTGACAGCAGTGTCATTCCGTAATGCATCCATACCTTTAATCCAGTGTCCAGGAGCGTCTGTGACAGCAGTGTCATCCCGTAGTGTATCCATACCTTTAATCCAATGTCCAGGAGCGTTTGTGACAGCAGTGTCATTCCGTAATGCATCCATACCTTTAATCCAATGCCCAGGAGCGTCTGTGACAACAGTGTCATCCCATACCAATAGCGCATCCATACCTTTAATCCAATGCCCAGGAGCGTCTGTGACAACAGTGTCATCCCGTAGTGTACCCATACCTTTAATCCAATGCCAAGGAGCGTCTGTGACAGCAGTGCCATCCCGTAGTGGATCCAAACCTTTAATCCAATGCCCAGGAGCTATTATACATGAAGCACTGTTCACCTCATAACAAGGTGTGCCTGTGTAGGAGTATGCCAAAGCAATATTTACCCTCCTTGCCACCCCCCATAGCTAAGTGTGTCTGTGTTGGAGTGTATACAGAAGCACTATTCACCCTCAATGTCATCCATAGGTGTGCCTGTGCGGAGGAACATCCTGGAATATGAATGTTGCCCTGAATTCTACATCGACCTCACCTTCACCATCCACATGCGACGGCGCACCCTCTACTACGGCTTCAACATCATCATACCCTGCGTCCTTATCTCCTCCATGTCTTTGCTTCTCTTCATCCTTCCTCCAGATGCGGGAGAGAAGATCTCGCTAGGTACGTAAATTGATACATATGTCAAGGTTCCATGCAGGGGGGAGTCTCATGATATATTTATGCAATCGTCTCCATTCAATATATATTCACTCATGTATAGTCCTTCTGTGACACGAAATGATTGGGTGCAAAAGGTAAAACAGCAATGAAAATGAAAGACTATGCCATCTAATACATTAAGAGTTAATCGTTCGTTGTGATATTTCTTAGGTTAAATGTAAGATAAGCAAGTGACATATTCAGTACTTCTTGTAAAGTGACCGTTCATGTTGTTTCAGGTGTGACGATATTGCTGTCGCTGATGGTGTTTCTGCTGCTGGTGGCGGAGACGATGCCGCCAACCTCAGACGCCCTGCCGTTGATAGGTGAGGAACCCTTCACCTTATCTGCAAATGTTTTCACTTCAGTATGCTGAGGAAACACTTTCTGCGTATACTGAAGCATCTCTGTGGCCTTCTTGATGACTCTATTGAACGGTTTGACGTCAGGATGGATGACGTAATTTGTTTTGATGTCATAGTCCGAAGACGGCTTAACGGCAGAACCAACTGAAATACATGTACTCTTCTCCGATTAGATTGCTACTGTTCTTTGAACGATGTCCATTAATGTGCCGTTTCCTTTCAGGTATCTACTTCGCTTGTATCATGTTCATGTGTTCCTTGTCGGTGCTGTTCACTGTCATCGTGCTGAACCTCCACCACAGGTCCTCGGACAACCACAGCATGCCTACATGGGTAGGTGGAACTTGGAATAAATATGATTAATTAATTTCTGTTCGTGATTTACAGGAAGAACACTGAAGAGTTATTCTACCTTTGACAGAAATACATACTAATTGCATATAACTATCAAGATTATTTACACTTCACGTTATTTGGAGCCTATCGGTTAAAGTGTCGACTCATCACTTATAGACCATGGTTAGATTTTTCATACGGGTACGATACGTGAAGCCAAATAGGGGAGATGAAATGCGCATACTCAATCAATTACCCACACCCCTGCAAGTCGTACTGTGTGTAAAGGGACATAACTGCGCTCAGCATGTCATTGCTAATGAAATACATTTCAGATACAGATCTATGCTCATTATCCATTTTAAAAATGTTTGTTATTTCAAAAAACATTTAAAAGTGTTACACTTAGGATCTTGTTTAATATTCAGGCAGGGAATAACACAGCGGCAGTCTCAATAGTGGCTACAGATGAGATCGTTCAAAATATAAATTTGAAGATGCTATTATCTAAACTGCGTATATTTATAAATGGACTCCCACACTTATGCTGACATCAGATCCATTTTCATTTTTCAAATGAATGGAAATAGTTACAAACATATTTTGCGTTGGCATATTTACTTGTTGCAAAGGTGTTATGTTATAGTGATTTTATACAACATGGTAAATATTGTTCAAAAAGGAGACACACCCTACCATCCCCTCATTTTCGACTCGTGTCTTACCATGTTGAGTGACATAGTCTTATGTGTTGTGTTGCCATGACTAAAATGAAATATATTTCATTTTATTATAGATCCGCAGTTTGATCTGCGGCTGGCTTGCCTGGGTATTGCGCATGAGCAGACCTGGCCAAGACCCGTTGTCGTCCCGTCGTGTTGTGGCACAACGCACCCGGCTGTACGACGTCAAACTGGAGGAGAAATCCAAGTCTCTGATGGCCAATGTTCTCGAAATGGATGATGACATTAGAATGGTGCACAGCAACGGCCTGCCCATCAAGGTGGACGACGCTGTTCAGTTAACCGGCGTCAGGCACGACATTATTTCCATTCTGAAGGAGCTGAAGAAGATCACCCTGAAGATAAAGAAGGATGAAGAAGAGACGGACATCAAGAACGAATGGAAGTTCGCTGCTATGGTTATCGACAGACTCTGCTTCATCATCTGTGTCAGTCTGACTGTAGGGTCCACGGCCGGAATCCTGGGATCTGCTCCTCACCTTCTTGCTTAATAAGAAGCTTAGGCTCAACACGACCCAGCAAATATAACGTGTAGCTTCTTCAACGGAGAGTATCACTCTCTTTTTTAAATAAAAAATAGGCTGGACTCATCTATTATATGTACTCTACCATATGAGATATTACAGACAGGAATTATGTCAAGGCAAGTGAGGTAATCAGTTCCTGCGAGATGACAATCTTTCTCTGGAACTAGATGGAGCTAATACCTTCGACAGTGTTGATTACATGAGGTTATATGTGATGTTTACACCTTACTGATGATACAGGTAGTGTTGCATTAAGACATTCTATGAGCGCTTCGTTTGACAGCATTGACTGCAATACGTTTGTGTGCAGGGATGTTCACTTTGATATGGAATATGTGTAAAGGTCGTCCCCTTTGAACATGTGACCTTTTCTTTAATGCTCCTGCGTAAACGAAAAAGAAAGATTTTCAGGAAATCGGATGTCATTAAACACAGAAGGATACGTGACCACTGCAAAGGCACTCGATCAACAACGATATACTTGAAGAATATCGATTCACAATTCATGAGACCAAAGATTTCTAGATGATTACATTTGATGCTTGTGGAACACTTAAAAACAGATGCACTTTATGTTGATCTGTGAGCTGATATAGACATGTTAAGCATTCATGGTGCACTTTTGTCAACTTAATTGCTTAATATGTGATGTGTGTAAATAGTCTGCGGTTTAATTAGCATGATTCATGAATAATGATATGTATTGTTGCAAGCACACACAGACAAATAATGATAAAGAACCAGACAGAACAAGAACAACAACGTGATAACATAAATGTGCTATTTTTGGTCGGAATAAACTGACACCAGTTAATTAAAGTTGCATTCATGATACAATCCATCATTGCCACCCTTTCACGAAATGCAGTATGCGTGTTATAATCAAACTGTGGTGGACACGATACAGAGAGGTGTACATGCATACTGTACCATCGAAGCCTGCCTCTTTTTACCTTCATTACAAATCATCTTTTTTGTTGAAACTTGCGCGTAGTTATTATGAACAAATAGTAACCCCTTCCAATCAAAGAAACAGAATAGCTGATAAATGTAACATTTGATACATTCGATGAGCATGTGATGTAAGTTACAAAATATGTACAGTATGTAACAGTATGTTTGGTTGAAGTAGCAGCATTATGTCTAAAAGGGATAATTTGAAAAAAGTACCCTGTGATAGAATTCTTCAATAGATAGAATTAAGAAGCTGTTATTCGTATACTGATATGAATTAGTATAAAAACTTTAATTTCAGTAACAGATTGCATGAATGTACATTTACAATTCGTAGACAACTTTGAAATTAATTGACCAAGAAATTAAATATCTAAGCGCGCCATCTAAATGTCTGTGTGTCGACATCTGTGGCAGTGTGGAATTTCTACATTTTCTATCATTCCGCACGCTCTATAGCCTCATCAATAACGGTACTATATCATTCACGCTGATATAGACGGAGAGCACTTCGCCAAGTAATATGCACACCCACAGCAATGTACATAACAATGGCATAACGCTTCTCATGCAATTATATACTGCCATCATACTCTATAACATGTATATTTATTTCTCACCTGTACATATAATAATAGCATATACCAGGCAGTTTTTCACAACTGATGAAAGGCGTTGACGAAAGTACAATCAAGGCTTATCCATGGTAAGGGTGTTCAATGGACATGAGTTGACCATGGAGCCATATTGCCAGCTGGAATGGCGTTACCTGAACATGGTTCTTTGATTGGCTAATTAGTACAACGATACCTGAAGATGGTGGTTTGTTTGATCTGTACATTCTTTTCAGAAAATGCTCATGCGCCCTGGTGGAGACACGGCATCCATAGAACATGGTGACAAGAACAACACGTAGATACACTTTTGTATGTGTGTATTTTACAGAACTGTTTTTCAGAACTGGTTGTTGTTTCACAATGTGTTTTAAATACCCTATATTTGTACACACTCACTGTTGGATAGTGCACAGATACAGATTTGAATTCAACATTGCAACCGAAAACGTTATTTTAGTTGTCTTTTTATGAATATAGGTAATGACTCTATTTCAACAGATATAAGTGTCCATTGTATTATACGCTTTAGGAAGTCAGACGGTAGAGTTACCCTTCCTTCTGTGATCATGTCAGATCATGTTTATTCTTGTCAGTGGACAATGTGTTTAACAATTTACTTTTATGTTTATTTTGGCTTTAGTTCGTTAAATTATTTATATCGGCTTTAGTTTTCGGCATGTGATATATACTGCTTCAAAGACTTGCAAGTGAGCGTGTGCGTTTTTTGTCTTTGGTGCGTTTAGTTTGTAAATACCTTTCGTATATTCCTGCACATTGCTACATTGATTCGGCAAATGATAATTATCATTATACTTTAGATTCAATAATAAGTAACGTTGTAACCCTTATCCCATTGCATTGTTACTGTAGATGTTTACAGGTTTGACAATGCTTTTAATGAAGGTATTAAACAGTTCGGAATTTCTATTCAGGCCACCAGACTATTCATATCAAGACATATTTAGATTCGCATGCTTTCAAAATCGATACCATACATTGTAGAAAACAGATAAAGCGAACTTGCTTCAAACGTGTTCTCATTTATAACCAAATAAACTTCATTGTGGACATTCTGGAACTAAGTGATTTCTGTATCCATTGATTAAGAAGGAAGTTCAAACGGCCATTTTGGAACATCAAAGGGTCACGATCAATATGTCTTTTCTGAACTCTTTGTGGTGTTTGTATGTCCATCCCAAGGGGAAAACTGCATATTTCAGAAACTCCTGCAAATAGTACCGGCCTTGTGCACATCCAAACAATGTCGCCATATCAAGATCACTGACCCACGAATGTGTGGAGTTGTTCTGAACCAACAAGAAGAAAGACGATAACACTAGCAGAATTATTAATCTTACTTGCATTTCCATTATGAGAATTATGAATCAAACTTGCATTATCAGAACTGTGAATCTTACTTCATTATCAGAATTAAAATCCTACTTGCATTATCAGAATTAAAATCCTACTTGCATTATCTGAAGTATGAATCAAACTTGCATTATGATAATTAGATAACTCTTCCGTATGCTTCTCCCTGTTGCGATTTTGTTATAATTTTTATTAGCTCTCGTGTGGCCACTTCCTAGCTTTGTATATGCTGCTGGTTATATCAGTGCTGAGATGTCTCTTACAATCTTGACAATATTTTGTAAAATAAACACAGTTTAAATCTCTTGGATATGTTTTATGTAGTATATTCAAACTTTCACCAAAATGATAAAACACAGAGAACGGTAACGGTCATCACACACGTACTTGCAACAGTCACCCTACATATCAACCATTGTTGAACTTCAATCTCTTGTATAACCCACACGTCACACACCACAAGACCCTAGCCACAAGACAGACTGCAGAGACATCCAACACACAAAATACACATCCCCAGCACACATCTAAACTCTCACGGACAGACACACAGTCAACATACATAATGCAGTCCAAACACAGACAGACAGGGTATATAGACAACAACAAAAATCACAGCACAACACAAAGATAACATTGTACACAATTTACAAGACCTAAAGGATTTTACTACATATATTTGAAGAATACACCCAGTTTGAAAAGTAACTTCGCAACCAAAATCGATATTATACCCACTACTATACATTAGAACATTAAACCATAACTGTCCTGTTGAGACCAGGCCCCGATTTCTCGAAACAAACTTAAGTTTTTACTCAAATTTCAAACTGAGTTGGACAATTTGAAACAGATGAATTTTTAACTCAACTGCATTTTTTAAATAAAAAAGCCCAAACAACTTAAGTAATCTATCCACCAAAGTCAAATTTTCTACTATGTTTGAGTTTAATATCGATTTTAGTTCATTCTGGAAAATGCATTTTCTCAAATTTGAGTAAAAACTCTAACATAAGTCGAAACTCAGACTTAAGTTAGTTTCGAGAAATCGGGGCCAGATAGGACCTTGACCCTGAGATGTAAATTGTTTAACACAGCCGGGCTCTGCAGAAACGTTCCACTATATACTTTGGTGTGAGGTTTTAGCAAAGAAGATTCTAAAACTGTCTAACCATCTCGAATCTAAAACGCCTCTCACGTACTCATAAATATCAAAATTCAAAGCAACTTATTTTATTGAGAATTAAATAAGTAGTCATATATGCAGAACAAAATCGGAGGTTATGGACTAAACGTGTGTATCTAGAGTTACATATAAGTGTATACTCTGTGGTCTTGATTCATTTATACGTCTTTTACATTTTATATAATCATGTGTTATATACTGCACACCAAAAGTTTAGACTCACTTAAAACACGCACTATATATATGTTATGTATATATATGGTTACATCGAAGATGTATTTCTCCACTAACTTGGAGGAACCAACTGAAAACCTTATGCAGATGAACTGCACGAGGATCATGCATCAAATTGCTGAGATGCATGTGCAAATATCGTTCATGTGAACAGCTGCGTTTTGGTGTAAAGTTCTCTTAAGAATTCGTCAATTTTTACTGAGTTTCATCATTTATTGAACTCATGACAATAATCTTTCCAAAGTTACGAATATGTTTTACAATACATCAGTTCATGTGTAAACAGTACCTTTAAACAGTGTAGAATATTTTGCAAAATCTAGTTTGGAACAGTTGACAGAAGTTAGTGAGTACATTTACACTATTGAGTCTAAACTTTTGATGGGTAGTATAGTATGCTCATGAACACCGATGGTGGGTAAATAAGAAATATAGCATTTGAATCTGAATCACACAAACACAACACACACACACACACACACACACACACACACATAATTACTCTCTCTAAGACATCACAACAGGCACGGTGATAGAGCCAGTCTTCATGTCATGTGTTCTATAACACGTGTTGTTTTGCCGGCCAGATCAGCCACTACATCCTATTCACCAGGCACATCATGACCTGTCCTTTATGCGAGACACATTCTACATGTCGTGTCAACGATGTCATCTGATGCCAAACACTTCACTGTCCGAGATTCCTGGAATATTGCTAATGGAGGCAAACGAGTAATGTCATCACTGACACATGCACGCCTGCACTCGCCCACTCAAAGGTTGAAGATCGCTTCGAACAAACATAATCACAAAGTTCATTGGGAGCCAGCTAAATCACGGAGGACAGCTGAAAGTGACCTGGATCGTAGACTACCACTGAAACCCATGGCCCTTCATGGAATGCACTTTAAGTCAAATTCTTCCTCATATTCATCAATCAGCAGCTGTCACGGTTAACAGAGCAGTATGGAAATACATATTTGTGTCATCATACCTGGCAGTTTCGTTCTCCTCTGATTATGTATTTAGAACAGAACCAACGAATCAACCTCCAAGGGAAATATATGTTTTGAAAACGAGCAGGGGAGCAATATTATGTAAATGTAAAACGTGAGTGCGGAACAATACCCAGTCTTGACTATCGTCAGAAACAAATAATTCCTTTCATGGTAAATGGTAAATAACTGTGGACGGGCACTGAAAATGATGACACGAGGGGTAAGTATGACACCAAAAGGGTGTCGTGCATGTAAAACCCTCCATTCACACAATTTGCCCAAAGGTAGATATTCACAGACTGACGCTTGACAGTAGTACTCAGAAGTACACAGTATCAACACAATATGTTCAAGCCATGTAATGATCGTCCCAGT